GGACAACATATCAGGGGTGAATGGATGACGCCGAATTCTTTGGCGAATCACCACCGACACTACCTCGAGACTCCCGCAAAATGTACTCTTTCAAATGCGCTGGACAAAGACCTGGCCCTAGTTAGCCTTCAATGTCCCGCCCGTTTGCCTCTCCAGAAGATCGAGTTACGTTCACCCATTAGTCGCTCTGCTCCTTCGCGCGTTCTATCCCCGCTCCTTCATACGGGGTGCTAAATTGATGCTCCGCTTATCTTCCCTCTCACCAGTGGGACCCTCTTCCAGGTCACTCTCAATATGCCCCCTCACCATATCGTCGCGCTACTCGTGCCGTCGTGGGGACACGCCGTCACAGCACCGTCCAGTTCTCCTCACATCACCGTGGGATGGCAGGCTCGGTCCACTCTGAGGGCGATGGGTCTGGCGACCAGAGCGGTTTGGCTTCGAAGCTGGCTGACTCGACTTTCTCGTCAGGAATGCACCAGTGACCAGTGCAGCACCAGGTCTTGTCCCTTGATTTCAATGTCACGTATGATAATCATCTTTATTTGTAGAATAGTTCATCTATTACCGTGCCACACAACATAGCCTACGAGCAGTCCAATGCAGGTTTGAAATTTGGCGAGGAAACGTTGAGGAAGCCTAGGCGTGACTCGAGAGAAGCGATGGTTACGGACACGTGAACTGTGACATTTATTTGCCATTTCGCCCACTTTTCAAGCCTCTTGCTCTGGACCATGCAGAAGCTGCTGAAAATCGTAAAAAAATCCAAGGTATGTTCACTTTGCACTGCCGAATGCTCGGTATCAATTTTTTATCCATCCAGGGCCGAAAAGACCGTGGGGCCGCCAAGTCATCCAAACGGTGCGCGACAACACCGTTGCTCTTTATCGATCTGAATATCCTGCTCAGTAACGTGGATTTGACCCCGGAACCATCTTATGAGACGTCCGATGTGCCGCCTGAACTTTGGGCGACGATTGGACGATTTGTGCCCCGCCAAGCTCTCGGTCGCCTCTGCTCCGTATCCCATGAATTCTATGCTACATTCTCCACACTGCTCTATGAAGACACCATCACTAATCCACTGAGTGGAGCTCAAGCGTCACGATTAATTGCAACGCTCACCGATGTCCAGTCGTCTAGCTGGAAACCGCATCCAGCAACGCTGATTCGGCAGCTCGGTATGACGGACGGCGGGCCCCGGGAAGCACGAACCATTGATCCTGAGATTTGGGAGGCATCGGCTAACGCGCTCCGCAATCTTTCTGAACTCACGGTCGGTGAGCGTACGAGAGAATCCGCTTTGCGCACTCTCCATTGGCATCTGCCGGCGGGAATTGATGAGCTCGGCAAGATACTTGGCGCCGCCGGGCATTTCCCCAATCTCAAGGAGCTGGTCGTCTTTGCAAACGGAACGAATAACAACTTTAATGTGAGCATAATATTTACTTATCCTTCTGTGGATCATCATTGAGCCGACATCCATAGTTCGTTCAGATCAGAGACCTCGAAGTGCTCGGGATCAACCTCCGTCTTTCTCTCAATGGTACGGTTGTACATCTGTGGATACTTCGGCCTTGCTCATTCGAATTTACTACGTAATAGACAAGGATTATGATGCTGACGACGGCGCGAAGCTGTGCCACAAGCTTACCGAGGTGTTGCAAATGCTGCCCTCCACTTCGCCTTTTCTCCACACATTGAAATTGAAACTCGACATGCCATGCGATGAGGCACATTGCACATTTCCGCATCAAGGATACGACGATCTCGTCGACGCGATAAATGACCTACATCTTCCCGCACTCACAATCCTCGAACTCTCAGTGACTGTATACCCAGACGAGGACGATGATTTTGATCTAGATGATTTGCCTAGCACCGATTTTTCCACTTTCTTGGCCTCCCATCCAAACCTCGTCAACCTTTCGCTGAATGCCCATGATACAAAACTTGTGAAAAGATTGGATTTCCGCGGCTTCGCTCGTTCCAGGGCTCTTTCGAGCATGCCGACATCATTTGCCGCCGTCAGCGTAAACTCGACAAGCTTGTTATTACCTTCATTCATCCATATTGGGCGAACAACCCGCCGTCGTTTCACACTCTGCCGCTTCCCTCTCACTTATCGCTCACAGCACTCCATGTTACGGCTGTTACAACTAAAGGACCGGAGGTCAAGCAGACGAATCAGCTGACCCCGACATCCTTTACCCAGTTAGTGCTGAGTTTCCCAAATCTTGTCGATCTCGATTTCTGCATAAACGGAAGGATGGTACGTCCTCGAACCGAGCGTGGCGCCGCCTTGCTAAGATCCCAATAGCCCCAATATCACAGATCCTTGATGCGTCTAACAAAACTCAAGACACTGCGCGTGCAGGAGTACCGACAGCGAAAAGCACCGGACCACTGGTCCGTTACGAAGATGTTCCCAGCCAGCGACTACATCGCAGAGTTCGCCCTCTTTCTGCCATCTTTATCGCACCTTGTTTCCATCGAGATCTGCCTCTTGGCTGATCGGCCCGTTCGACAGGAGGACTGGACGGACGATACTACCGGGGAGGCGAAGCACTTTGAGGTCTGGATGCTTATGGTCGGTGGTCCGAGGTTGAGGGTCGACTACTCCTTTTGCGTGGTTGAAGCCTCTCGCGGTCGAAAGGCTGTCTTGGATGATGCTCGCGTTCGTCAGAGGTAGCATTCAATATCCAACATAAGAGCGTATACTGATTCGACGGCCCTTTTCAGTGACCCCGTGGGATGTTGTGTCGCAGGATGCACTTGTAGTGCGAGTTCTTTGGTCCCGTTTTGAAGATGCTGTCGCTGATTATCTTGCTATATATGTAATAAATATCTTGTCGCCGTGTCGTATTAGCCCGTTACGACTTCTCGCAGCTATTTGGGTTGGGCTGAGGCAAATTTGAACCAGGTTCAATTCAACAAAAGTCAAGACAAGCTCAACATCAATTCCTTCCTCCCTCGCACTCGGTCACATACTCCAATTCAGATCAAAGATGGGGAAGGCTCGGTGGCGGGTGTTCCCCGTCTGCAATCAATAACTGGGGCATGTTATAATGTGAAGCAGCAGGTGCTCGCTCGAATAGAGCCCGAGTCATGAGACGGAGCTTTTGCATCCTGGACGGGTAAATTCTTTTGAGAAAAAGTAAAGTTGGATCTTCATTGCACTTCTGGCATGCTAGTTCTCCCTGAGGCGACTCAAAGAGCCGACCGAAGGGAATTTTGGTTGACAGAAGATACCTACATATTTCGACGAGGTCGTTTCTGTTTGCATGTTGGGGGACACCTTTCTAAATGGCGTGAATGAATATCCGAGACTCCGTAGTAGCTTGCCGGTGTATCAATAGCTTTGAACACAAGCTCTTATACAAGAGGTGAAACAAATTTGAACCATGTTCAATTTATTTCCTCCTACCTTTCAAAAACTATCCTCTCCATTCGTCGGCAAGCTAAGGTTAAGGAAGCTTAAGGCTCGGTGGCGGCTAGGTCCGCGTCTGCGCAACCTGTATATAGTCAATTCGCACCCGGCGTTCATATAGCAGACGCTCGTGCGACGCGAGCCCGAGCCATGCTGTTTAAGCATCTAGTCTTTTTCCCAGACACTCTGTGGCAGCCACATAATTGTGACACTCAGTCAAGCCTTGGTGTGAATTTCCAAGCAATCTGGGCCATTGCGAAACGCGTGTGGGTGGCCCAGATCTGGTCCCGTGACCGCGCCGCTCTTCCTCCCGACCAACAACAACAGAATACACAAATCGCTCTTGTGCGGACCCTCCGAAGGTTTTCTGCCCGCTGCAGAACCACACCCATCATAAAGTCTACCAATTATACTCCCCGAGCTTGAATGGAAAGGCGCTCCTCTCTGCCCGGTGACGCCACTCAGCCCTACACCTCGAACGCCTCGCATCCGGCTGCTACTCGGGGCCGGGAGAAACGGCAGGTGCATTTTGACGTCGCAGTGCATCCGGGGCGCATACGACACGGACAGTCCACCACGCCACCCGGGCTTGACCACGTCCCCGTCGCGAACGCCCTCACCCCCGCGCGCACAGATACGCTCGACCCCGAGAGTCTCTTGGCTCGTCACTTGGCAGAACTCCTTCAATATTTCAGGGAATCTCTCAAACAGAAAAGCGGGGAAGCCGTCATGATCAAGAACGGAAAATGTGCTCTGGCTGGTGGCGCGAGCCGACGACAGGTGGCTCTAGATGATTTTTGTTGCGGACAGCTGGACTTTTGTCGTGAAGTTAGCCGATCCTAGTCCAAGATACTGCAAGATCTCGGGTCTCAATGTCGCCGTCTACTTTCGATCATGGTCTGACTACTTCCTCAGAGCTCCATTGACCGTGATACTCTCGGCATCAGCAGTGGCTTGGTTCAATCGTTCTTCTCAGTAAAGCGTTCTCATCTTCCCTCTCTGAAATCTGTAGCTGCCATCTCCCGGGCAATTTGCGACGAGCCTCGGCATGGTCAATTGCCAGGTGGACCACACCGTGAGGTTCCGCGTATGTTTAACGGTGACATCGGCCGGCGAATTGTGCCCAACGCGGAGCATTGCCATGTTCGCCTGCTGAACGCGTACGTAGCGATCTCCCCTGTATTTGCCTTAGTTGAGCCGGGGACAATCCTCCCTGGGAAAGCACCATGATTTTGAAGGTTGCATTATTCTGGGCGGACAGTTTGGAGCTCATGGATAGAACATGTAAGTATTACAGGTGAGATTAGAATTCGAGAGACAAGAATGCGACCAAGTCAAACATCAACAACATTTACTTGGTATGTAACTTTCTCCCTCCGAGACCGAGTCCAGATGGCTGGGTTCCGTCCTCCGTCTACATGGCTGCGTTTCCCCCTTCCTCCATGGCGATATGGCCGAGTGGTTAAGGCGACAGACCAAAATGTTATTCCTCTGCAGGATTCACACCTTTTCAATCTGCTCCACATGACTGTAGACTCGATGCATAAGCATGGCTGGCAATATCTCCTACGACACTGTGGCGGAGTGGTTAACGCGACAGATTAGAATTCAGGATCGTTGTTGATTTTATCTGTTCCTCTTGTAGGGCGCACGTTCGAGTCGTGCCAGTGTCGATTATTTTGCTTTGTCTTTGTTTAATGGTAAGAATCATTTTGTTTACTCGTACGAATCAATTTGTTTGTTGGTACAAATCAGCTTGTTCATTACGCTCCCCTGCAGAATACTTGCAGGATTTGCACCAGGGTGGTATGGTGTGGTTTATTTATTTATAGAAAGGCATTGTTGATCATTGTTTATTAGTAGAAAGGCATTTGTTGATTTCTACGAGCACACAGTGCACACTTGTTGATCTGTAGAAATCTAGTGGTTTTTGGAACAAAAGCTATGCAGGAAGCAAGGTTTAATCACAAGGCCTTGGGAGGCAGGCAAAATTTAGCAACCTACTTTAGGCTATGGCAGAGTGCCGGCTGGGTTAAGATGGAGGCACCTACAAAGGCATTTGTTTTTTAGTGGAAGGGCATTTGTTGGTCAGTGTTTATTTATAGAAAGGCATTTGTTTGCTAGTATAAAGGCATTTGTCGAGTACGAACAGTTAGTTGGGTGATCAGTAGAAATGCATTGGTTTTGGAAAAAAAAAGGGCAAGAGACAAGGGTTGATCACATGACCTTGGGGAATATGTTCAAATTTAGAAGACTAGAGCTTCAGATTTGGTAGCTTGGGGCCATACACAGAAGAAACCCCACAGATAGGTTAGGATACCACAACACCCGGTGGACGGCGAGGCGGAGGGCATGCATGTCAAGTGTGGGTGGATGAGAATTTGAATGTGTACCCAGATTGCAAAGCAATATAAAAGACGGGCCGCTGGCAGTGGCTCGTGATGATGGCAAAGCTGTGGACAATCAGGACAAGATAGCTGGAGGTGGGTAAGCGGGCGGTGGTGTGGGTCTGGAGATGTGTACTACAAGGAGGACATGCTTGGCAACTGGCAAAAAGGGAGTGACAATGAGACTGGTCGGGATCCAAATCAGTGCGGATATACAAGGGTGTGAAAAGCAAGTCGTGGTGATGAGATTTTTGCAGCTGGGGTCAAAAAAGCAGCAGTGATGACGAAAGCAACCGGCCAGGATCAAAATTGCACCCAACCCAGTTGGATATACTAGTGTGTGAAAATCAAGTAGTGGTGACCAGAGTTTTGCACCTTGGTACGAAAAAAAAAGACGATGAAAATCCACTTGAGCCACTGGTCGGGATTCAATCACACCCGACCCGTGTGTATACAACAGTGTGAAAGGCAAGTAGTGGTGAGCCAAGTTTGTACTCGGTGTGGAGCCCTGGCAGAGTCAGGGCAAAAGCTAGAGATGCACTTTGCAAGCCACCACGTGGAATTGCGGTACCAATACATCTGGCGTCAAGAGTTGGTACTGGTCAACAGAGTTTCGCTTTGGCGGAGAGGACGGCCACGTGACCCGCGCTCTGGCCGAGTGGTTGCCGAAAAAAAGGTGGCACAGCCGCGCGAAATAGTGGCCAGTGCGTCGCTCCGCGAGAAACAGTGCCGACCCCGGTCGCTCATCGTGCAGGATACCGCCCTGGAGCCCCGCAGGATTTGCACACAGCGGACACATCAAGGGCGCACGTTCGAATCGTGCCAGTGTCGATTGTTTTGCTCCTGTCTTTGTACGAATCATTTTTGTTTACTTGTTCGTTGGTGCGAATCACTTTGTTTAAATCCTTACAGCAGCGGATAGCATGGGCTGGACTTGCGAGCCATGGTACCGATGTACGGGTACCGCTGGCAAGAGTTGTGGTCGAGGCGGGGGATTTGTAGAAAAGCATTTGAATCCGAACAAAAAGCACTAGGGGAGAATGTCGATCGTGACCCTTGGATTTCGGCTCAAATTTGGGATATCAGGGCCTTAGATTTAGAATCTTGGGGCTGTGCAGAAAGGTGGCCCAACAATGCAACCGAGAGGGGGCTGGGGTTGAACGCAGGCCGAGGAGACGATTGGGGATTTTTTTTTGGGTCGCGTGAAGAGGGCAATACTGTCGGAAATAGGATCGGGTGGCTGACGGGCCGCGCTCTGGCCGAGGCGAGAAATGGTGCCGCTCCCGCGAGGAATACTGATCCTCCCGCCCCTCGTTGCGCTTGGGAAAGGATCGCAACCTGGGGAGTCAAATCCTGCTGGCGTCGATGAATTCAATTTTTTATGCCATCGCCATCGAAGAAAGTAGTTGAGCAATACATATTCTTATCCTGGGTCTTGCCAGCCTCATCAGGCCTAATAGTCGTAGTACTGGTTCACTGTTCAGCTTCCGGCTAGGCCTGCCGCGGCCGATCGACGAAGAAAAATCAAATCGATCTGATTTCGGACCTCTCAGTGAAAAAAGGAATGTCCTGAATGGTCGCAGGGATTGAACGTTGAACGAGTCCACAGCTCTGAAGGAAGTCCGAATTGGTTGAGGACAGCTCCTGCAAAAAGCGCGTTATTTGCTCTTGTTGATTTATCATCTCCCATTATTTTCCGCCTTCATGTTATGCAGGCCAGCCTGCGGCCTTTGGCGGTACGCTGTCCTTCCGGCGTACACGGACTCCGGTACTTGTTCTTGCTCCCTGGGGCGCGTCTGAGCGCGCGGAGCTCACAGACATCCCGGAACTTCATATTGCCTTCACCGACTGAACCGACTGCCACAGAGACCCCATCACGCCTGGATTGCATCATCCCGAAGCACTCCTTGGGGGCCAAGGACGAGACGGTCCAGGAAGACGCAGAGGCGCTTCCAAAGTTGCTAGCAAAGGAGGAGGCACAGGCAGAGGCAAAGAAGGCAAGGAGGGCACAGAGGAAGGAAAGGATACGCCTTGCTCGAGAGGACAAACCCCCGGCGATCTCATATGAGGAGTGGGACGAACCTACAGCGCCAGCGCGGGCCCCACCAACCATGAAGGTCCCCCTCCGACCTCGTTTGTCCCCGTTTGTAAAAACCAAGCCCACGTCCTGGACGGTTCCTGACACCAAGTCTGTGCCCTTCAAGCTCCCGTACACGTCCAAGATCATCGGTGCGCCACCCCAGGCACCTCCCTCGCAGCCCGAGCCAGACAAGCGCCCCGCGGAATCACCCTTCAAAGAAGCGCCCTTCAAATCTTCCGCCAAGACGTCCGTCGCGCTCCTGGACCTCCCCCCGTCGACCACGCTCTCCGATCTCAGCCGCATCGCGCTCCGGGCAGGCGCGCGGCCGGCGGACGTCGTGGGCGTACAGCTGTGGGTGACAGCTAAGCGGCGCGAGGATGGACCTCCGGATGAGGGACCTGGATGGAGACTTGGTGGGGTGCGTGTTTTCATTATCTCCTATATTTTTATTTTCGGCGGGGATTCTTCTTTCAATCGCGACGATCCCGTCGCGTCCCTGTCTACATCTCCTTCATATCATCTCCCATTCTTGCCCTCCACTTCCTTTCGTACCCTGACTCGCTTCTTCCCCCACCTTCACCTGACTAACGTCTCCTCAGACGATTCACTTCCGCGACCCTGCCCTCGTACACGACTTCATCGCGTCGCCGCTCATCCTCGAAGTGCACGCGCCGCCGGCCCCCGACGAGCGACCCACCGCGCACGTCTTCCCCAGCGCGGAGGACGCCGTGGCGTGGTCCCCGTGGCGGATCAAGGCGCTCCAGTCGGCGCTGCGCGCGAAGGATGGCGCCACAGCAGAAGCCCTGCTCCACGGCGCCGAGGCGGAGGCGATCGACGGAGAGACGAGGGCGGACTGGAGGACAAGAATTTCGTGGAAGGAAAGATATTTACAGGCGGGTGCTGAGGAGGGCGAAGGTGGGGATGGGCTTGTGGCGGGGGAAGACGGCGCAGCGGGGCCGTTTTTGGAGGTGCAGGAAGCCCAAGTTAGAGTTGCGTGGTCGGGGCGTGCGGAGACGACGGCCGGCGAGGATCTGGAGGGGGCAGAGGTCGAGCCAGATGCTCTGAGTTTGACGGGGCAGGAAGCCGGGGCCACGGAAACGACTCTTGAAACAGAGTCGCATAGTTCTAGCGCAGACGGCGCCGATTCAGCTGTGGCGCGCGAGGCCGAGACCGAGACCGAAGACTCGGATGTGGCGTCACTTGAAGCTGAGAGGTACGAATCCCTCCCTCTCGCGCGCAGCGTTCCCGATTCTTACTCGTTTCCTCGTAAAGCGGAGCCGAATCCGAGGTACATACAGTCGGAGGTGAAACCGCGGAGTCGGGGCCTACGGAGGCGACATCTCGCAAAGATGTTGAGGGGACAGAAGTCGAGCCCGACGCTCTGAATCTAACGGGACAGGAAGCCGAAGGCAGGGCCATGGACGCAGAATCGCATATCCCCAGCGCAAACAGCGCCGATTCAGCCGCGGCTCGGGAATTCGAGCACGAGGACTCGCTCTCTAAAGCTGAGAGGTACGAATTCTACCCTCTCGCGCGGAGCCTTCACGATTCTGACGCATTCCCTCACAGCGCGCAGTTATCCTCGCCTCCCGAATCTAACGAGAAGTACGCAGCTTTGCCTCCAGCTGACCTATGCCGACTGACCGACTGCCTATCCCCCCCGCAGCAACAAGCAGGCTCACGATCCGTCACTCACCGAATACGAGCGGTACGCACCCCTCGTCCCGGCTTACTCCATGCCGACTGACTGACTGCCTACATCTCCCCCAACAGCAACGTAGAAACTCTCAAGCTGCTGCAGAGGCTGTTAGCAGACGACCCTCCCAATGCGCGACGCGATCCGCCACCCCACATCCCGCGGCACCGGGGCATGGACGCCGCTCTCAAAGCAAAATCGCATATCTCTAGCATCTACGTCAGCGAGATAGCTACTGCGCACGAGGTCGAGACCGAGGACTCGCCATCTGAAGCTGAGAGGTACGAATCCCCCCTCTCGCGCTTAGCGTTCCCGATTCTGACGCCTTACTCCTTAGCGCCGAGCCCGACGCTCTGAATCTAACGGGACAGGAAGCCGAAGGCGGGAGCATGGACACGGCTCTTGAAGCAGAGTCGCACATCTCCAGCGCAAACGGCGTTGATTCGGCAGCGGTCGAGCCCGATGCTGTGGGTTTGACGGGGCAGGAAGCCGAAGGTGGGCCCGTGGACG